TTAAGAATATGTCTTGTTCTACTTTAGAAAGAGCTTGAAAAGATTCCCTTAATTCTGCAAATTGTTCCTTGGGAATTATTGAAGAGCATCCACAACCACAGCCTTTTTCTAAAAAATCAATGGCCATTTGATATTCATTAGAACCATTATATTTATTATTAATTTTCATATATATACACTTATCCCTATATATATATAATTTTATAATTTTATGTTCACTTTGTCTGGTTTTTTAAAATTGAGACAAGAGGGGATATCAATCAAAAAAACAATAAAAAAAACGGCAGGTCACCAAAAATATATTTTTCTTATTAATAAAAAAATGGCAGGTTCACCAAAAATATTATAATATCAAAAAAAAATAAAATATTTTTTTTTTCCTATTTTAATAATAATAAAAATACAGTAGGCCAAAAATAATTTTTTGTATATTTTCAGTGACAAATTTCAGACGTGATAAATATTGATTGACAAAAAAAAATGGCAGAAAAAAACGGCAAAATACACGATTATAATAGATAATAATATCCAAATGGCCATAGTCTCCTAATTTCAATATTCTCAAAAAAATTTTTTTTTGAATAAAAGAAGTTCTGTCAGCAACTTGTTTTGATTTATGAAAAATAATAAAGATATAAAATAAAAATATTGGATGCACCAGCAGATCACAACGATCACATAGATCATAAGAGGAGCGGCGCATAGAACGTCCTCGTAGTTGTGAGAGTCATATTAATATGACTTCTGGAGTTCCCACACACTACAACGATCACATAGATCATAAGAGGAACGGCGCATAGAACGTCCTTGTAGTTGCAGAAGTTATCAACAACTTGGTGAGAACTCCATACTGCCTTGAGCAATTAACTTTTAGCCTTTGGAGTAAAAGTTAAGATCTTAGAAAATATGAATTTATTTTAATAAGTATAAATTAATATTAACTCAAATATTGTTGAGTCCAGGTTGTTATCCTTAAGTAATTTTTCATTGTAGATCCTTTTTTTTTTTTTTTTTTGAGTTATTAAGATAGTGATCCCAAACCAAGACCATTTTGTATTGCACTTATTAAATAATTAACTTATTATAAAAATCACCTTTGTTGTAAACTACAAGTGGATTTGACTACATTTAAAATACCATAAATAGGGAGCTGTGTGTGATATTACCTATATTTATTGTCATTTCTATATTTATTGTTGTTTCTAATAATAATAATCAACAACCAATACTATAAAAAGATAATAACAAGGATGAAAAGGTTTGTAATATCTTATATAATATTTTATTATGAACTTGGTTCAAAACAAGGTGATGGTGAAGATGGTCTTGTTTGATCAGGGAGATGGCTATATGAAAAAAAAATTACATATATACATATATGTAAAATATAAAAGAACAAAGAAATCAAAACACAATAATGATATTACCTTATTTTTGCTTTTGGTGACACTTTCAAACTTAGTTTAACAGACTTTTTAACATGTTGAGGAACCAAAAGACTTTCTCTGAAAATTCGGCTTTTATTTAAAGCCACTTTATAAAGCCGTGCAGTTCTATTAATAAGATTCTATAGAAGTAAATTAGTTAAAAAGTAAAGATAAAATAGTAAATGACTAAAAAACACTTACTCTATATATTAAGAATTTCTTGCATAAAAATGACACAATATCTACATCATCATCTTTGGATGGAAGTTCTTGAAGAGCCCACTCAAAAACTCCATACAGATCTCCATTTATTGGTAATAATAGATAAAATCTAATTTTAATACCAATAATTTGATAAAAAGGAATTGCTATACGATTTAAAATTTCATCAATTTCAATTGAAAGTGAACTACTCCCACTTTCTTCTATACATTGAGATTTCATCTTTATGTGTTGTGCTTTAGCAACTTTCATGACATCAATAAAGTTAGATGCACCTTTATTATGATGATCTTTAAATTTTGGACCTGAATTCTCACCAACTCCAACTTCACAGTTATTATACTAATAATTTAAACCATTAATTAATGTTATTTATTTGTATCACATGTTAAACAAACTAAAACTTACCAGAAAAATGAAATCACATGATTTTCCATGTCTGGAACAATTTGAACGATTTGTTTTTTCTTCTCTTGAAGCATCACTTTGGTTTTCTCCACTATAAAATAAAGAATTATAAAATATACTTGATAAAATAAACCTAAGTAAAAAAAATATTTACTAAATATATTTAATCCCTGGTGCCCTTGCATATCTTCCAATTAAAATCATATCAACAGTTCTTTCTGAATTAGAAGATCCATTATACAGTTTGATCAATTCATTCCTATAACAATTTTAACAATGATGTTTATAAACATAGAAAAAAAAATTAATTAAATATCAACAAAGATTAAACTAAACTTACGTTACATCTAGACATTCACCAATGTATTGGGTGTCATCATCATATATATTTAAATTTTGAAGACTTGTATCATCTTCAATGTTACTCTTAAGTAAATTTTGTATTCCCACCATCCCTTTTGCACGTTTTTCTTTGCTGAGTTCTTGAATACTAAATAGTTCACTGCTTTGTAGTACTTCTAATAAAGCATGAGAAGACAAGTTTAAATTTGACTCTTTTTTAATAATTTCATTTATATTTTGTTGAAGATTTTGAATTTTTGCTTCAGATAAAAAATTTTTTGCTCTGGGTGTATCAGTACAGGGGTGGATTTTTTCTTCCCTAAAATCAAGAATCCCCCAACACAAAGGACTATATTAACATGAAGATAGAGTTAGAAAAAGTCAAAAGATACAAAAAAAGAGTAAACAAAAACCAAGTTTTTTACCTAGCTAAAGTTTCGATTCTTCCTTGTGCTTCATAAACTCCAGCTATTGCTTTTTTATATTCATTAGTGTTAGAAAACATATCATCTGGTAAATTTGTCATGGAATATAATTGTTTTCGAGCATTCTTGAACAATAAAAGAGAAAAATTATAAATACAAAAGTAAAGTTTGTATTTACATAATAACATCAGACAAACCTCAGCAGTTAAACTTTTTGTAGTTTCATCAGCCATACTCTCCATCATATCTTGGGTTTTACTTCTAATATTCACATGACATCGTAACTGTACAAATACACTAGTTAGCAAATAGCTCAAAATTCTTTGGGAAAAAGATGACTTACTGTTCGTAAAGAACTTTGTTTTTCCAGATTTTCTTGTTCCATAATACCAATCATATTTTCAATTTTTATCCAGAACATATGAACTTCTTCATGGTGTATTCGATGATTCTAATAAATGAATGCATTAAAAATAAGTTTTATGTAAAATAATTTTATTTAGCATTAAAAAAATGTGTATACATTGAAGCTTTCCAGTAATTTTTTTGCTTTTGGAAACTTTTCTTGAAGAGACGTGAGATTTTTTTGTAATATAAACGATTCCTTTCTAAAACTAAAGGTAAAATTTTCTTCCTTTTGTCGATACTTGTAGAAATCTATATAACTCCATTGTTCTGATGGTGTCTTGAAATAGTTGGTTGTTAAAATTGTTGAATTCATTGTGGTAAATAACAAAGCATGTATATACTACACATTTACAAAAAATTATATCTGACGCGTTTAAAAAATTTGTTGTGGAACTAACATATGGGTGGATTTGACACATTCAATTTTGACACATTTCAGAAGTGTGACAATCTAATAATCTTATTATTATCACTATAATAATAAGATTATAAAAACATACTATTATTTTATTCCTTATAGAAAAATATATTATCCTGAGAAAAAATTACTTTTCACTCCCCTTATCTTTATAAGAATATTAAGTAATGCTCCACTATAACAAAATTCTCTTATTATTATGATTATTATTGATTTTTCTCTACAACATTACCATAATAGTGGTGAACAAATACATAAATGATGGATGTTTCATTATGTTCATTATAGAAAAAGTGAAATGTATTTTTATACCAAAAATTCTTATAAATATTATTTTAATAAAAAAATTGACATGAAAGACAAAAACAGGAATTATTAAATTGAATTAAGCAATTATGTAACAGTTCATTTTTCGTTTTAATGTAGCGCAGAAATTATGAAGATCGTTTTAATTTATCTTCGCGCAACGCGTTAAAATTAAATGCTATATACATTATTTTAATTATTATTATTTATTTATATTAGTATTTATATTATTGTTTATATTATATTATATTTTATTTATATTAATATTTATCTTTATTTCATTATTTTTTATGAAAGCAAGTTACAAATTAAGCGCTGCAGCTTTCCGGAAAGTTTTAAGATATTATGTGATTATAATACGTTAATTTAATTTATTTAATTAATTTATTGTAACATTAGAAATAATATGTATTTTGTATAAAAAGATAAGCTTTCCAAAATCAATAAAAAGTAACTTGTATTTTACAAACTAAATTTGATATTATTCGTATTTTGACGTAAGGAAAAGGATTTCCTTACAAATTAGAAGAAGAAAATAAGTGATTGAAAGAGTTAACTCCTCAAGAATTATTAGAGGAGACTAACAAGTTAAAAGTTTAACTAACACAACTACAACAACAAAATGGTCAATTGGTTGCTCAATTTCAAGTTAAAAAATGACCCTGATTGAAAATAAGAAAGTAATTTAAAGAAGATTGAGGAAATATTTTCTTCTGTATAAATTGAAATTCATTCCAACTGTTAAAGAAAATTGTAGTTACTTTCCTTTTAAAGATTTTTGCTTTTTATTAGGTAATGATGCATCATCATGATGCTTTCTTTTTCCAACATTTATTATCTTTCTTTCTTCTTGGTAAATTTCATAAGTAATCCTTTCTTTTTTTAGATAAGCTTCTAGTGTCTGAGTATCATTTATTTTGAAGATGTAAGGAGCAATTTTTTCACCTTGTTCCTTTTTTAGAATACTTCTAAGGGTGCTATAATTCTTGGGTTCCATAGTAGATCTGATGTAAATGAGTTTCATATTAACTATTTTTGTATAGGGATAGTTCTATATATCACTTAAGATAACAAATGGGATATTATAAAACTGATCACACTACAGTCATATTAAATTTTGATCCCTGAAATCCTTGGTAACACCAATGTTCACTTTGTTTGGTTTTGTTGCAGTATGTCCCATATTAAATTTTCTGAAAAAATTTCATCCTGATGCTTGTGTAATGCGATGATTACACGAACTTGCTTGCAACCTATTAAAATCTTGTTATTTATATTAATACTATATATCAAGTTCAAACAATTGATTGCTACGTATAACCTAACTAAATTAGTAGAGTTTAAAATAATTTATATTAATACTATATATCAAGTTCAAACAATTGATTGCTAACTAAATTAGCAGAGTTTAAAATAATAATAATTTAGATCGAAATTATTACCAATAGAATTTAAACTAATAATTTGTTTGTTATTATTACTAACAGGATTTAAAAAATATACGCCATATTATTATAAATTTCCATTAATAGGAAGGGAGGATACACTCCTAATAATAAAACTTGATCGTTCATGTGTAACTTATTTCCTTTTTTAAGTTTTTAGTTAGATCAGTTTTTATTAAAAAAAATCACACGTTATATTTGTATGCTATCACATTTGAAAATTCTCTCTCTGTAGTAAACAAACATGTACAATTAAGAATCTCGGACAGCGACGATGATCTTTGGCGTTAAGCAGAAATATCTAAAATTGGTTAAGTGTTGAATATCACCTTTCTTGTAACAGTTCTGTTCACGATTTTACTAGAATTTTTTTTAAAACGATGATAATTATTGGATCATTCTAGAAAAGTTCCGATGAATATTTCAGAAACCTCACTAAAAAGTTTTAAATATGATGGACGTAATTCTAATTTCATTAATTATTAATTGTAACAACTTTAATTGATATTTTCTCTCCATTGTAAAAATTTATATGATCGCCGGCAGATTATCAGAGGTTACATCATATCCCTAAACGGATAAAGTTCAATTCAAAAACCCTTAATTAAATTAAAATGATCTTACCATTTAAGGCAATAAAAAGTGGGTCCTATTTAAAGCATACGGGATACTACATTTCACAAATTAAATTCTTATACGTTTACATATTCGCTTTTTTTGGAAATTTACGATTTTGAATGATGCTCGATAAGTCGATCATTTATTTATATTATCAAGTACTTTAAACAATTGATTTCTGCGTCCGACTTATCGAGTTTACATGTGTAATTCGGCGGTTTCTTTGGCTTTGTGTTACATTCCTTTGAATCGCTCGAATTGCTTTGCTACGCGTTGCTCCCCGATTTTATTTATGTTCTTTATATATAATTGATAACGTAATAAGGAGATATAAAGATATAGATATTAGATTGATATCTGAGTGTAAAGAGATTTATATGACAAAGTAATTAATGTGTAGGCTAAATAATTTAATAAATTTATTAATAATATATATTTTTCAATCGGTATTGGCGTTTTCGATAAATAACTTAAACAATATAATGAGATTTATTATTCTCTTTTCCTTTTTTTTAATTAATATTAGATGGTTAGGCAATTCATCATTTTTTCAAATAACTCATCTTTTTTTTAATATTAATCAGTATTGGTTGATCAAACAATATAACGATTGGACTTCATTTTTTTGATTTTTTAATATTAATATTATTTGGTATTAGTATTGGATGGATGATTAGACAATATAACAATTATTATGCTTTTTATTGACAAATCTCTTTTTTTTTTGTCGTCATTAAACAATTTAAACAATATAATGATGCCTCTCATTATAGTTATTCTGTTTAAAAAACGTATTTAAGAAACCTCTCGTCGTTAACTATTTTGTTTGAAAACAAATTTAAGAAACTTCTTAAAAATTCTTTTTTAATAAAAAATGTCTTCTATTTTGTCTTTTTTATGTTTATCACGAGTGCGAGTGGTGTACAGTATTGCGTGTAGTAGAGTAGACAATGAAAATAAACTTTAAAGCGTTTCGGAATAATTTAGAAAATATGATCATGGAAAAATTGGATCGGAACGCGTTTTCTTTTCTCAAACCTAAAATCCTTTCCACAAAGACAAATAAATGATTGGACTGCTTGAAAAATTAAATCACGGGTATGCAATCGATAAAAAAACAAGAAACTCCCAAAATTGGATTTTGTAAAACGTTGAACGAATTCGATCCTATCGTTTCATTGGTAGTTGACATTCTAAATTTCGAAGTAATCTTTCAAATATTACTATTACACAAATCTCCACAAATTCGTCGCAATTCAAGAAAGAGCAAGAGTAATGTTCCTCAACAATAAATTATTTGAATACAACATCCTGCAATGGAACAATAGTTGTGATCACCAAAGTAAATAGATAACCAATAATGTAGAAGTTACGTCCTCAACAAATGGAAACATTACTAAAATAAACGTAAACGTCCAGAGAGCTGTTGTAAACTTTGAATTAATGGCGTACTTTTCAAGATTTCAATTTCCACTGCAGAATACCTTTGTTTCTACTACACACAAATGCTAAGGATTGACGTTGCCGTATTTTATTTTGACAATATGATTTCGACAAGACAAATCTCTCTTGGAATTTCCTGGATATTATATAGGTGAATATAAACGATTAAATTTTTTGGTCTTAAAGAATACTTACGTTAATAAATTTAATAATAATAATATATTTTTTTTTACAGTTGCGTAACACGATGCATAATATATAAAAATTTCAAATCATCTGACTTAATGCATATCTTAACCTTTTAATACGTGTCAGAAAAAATCAACACGTCGAGATCGGCAAAAATTACTCAATGCTTTAAGGCCAAACTTTGATTTGATGTTTTCCCCATCATCCTTTGCTGCTCACTCTTATCCCTGGTTATTCAAGAAACATCACCATTTACTGACCATTATTCCGTGTGGCGGAATTGGTCTTCTTTATCCTTGTTACGAGAATCTCAAACCCCATAATAATTAATTGTGATCGAAAATATTTGTACCAAGAGAGATAGAGAACGAAAAAACTATTATTTTTGAATTTTTTTGAATTTTTTATTTCGTTATTAATGTAAGAATCGAGTACAAACAAATTCACAAACTTTGGAAAGTTTCTCGCAATACAGAATTACATAGTAGTCTAGTAGGCTTGACAGAAGAGATCTACAACTCACTTTACCATTTACCTACGTGGCCGGTTTCGTTCCATTATTATCTGTGCGGAAGAAATCATCATGGGTGAAACGGTTGAATGGACAACGAAGGGCTTTAACACGGGATAGCAAGCATCAAAGAATTTCTTGATGCTCTTGATAATATTTCTAAATCAACAGATTTGATTTATTACAAGCTTTTCCTGATCCATTGGAACACTGTTTTAAAACTTTCAACAACATCAAACAATCAAAAAATTTTGCAAATTTGTAATCGATGGTTTTGAACAAATCTTAGATATTACTCATATTGCCGACTGAAGAGTATCATTCATATGAAGCAACCTATTGGCGTGTTGTCAACGAATGTTCCCGAATTGTAACACTGGAAATCTGTATTTGTAATTTCTTTCTGAGAGATCGATGTTCAACCCAGAAACCCATTGTGATCCTGATATAATTTTCTTTGTCGAGTTTAAGTACAGAATCATGGTTCCTGACTTTGTTCAAGTCAACGAATAAACTTATCATTGATGAGATAGAGAAGCGACGCAGAAAGGCTCTATCGGCTTGTTATTGGTTGATTATGTATCCAGCTGGCGCCTTTTGTTACAAACGTATATTAATACTCTCTAAGAAGTCAATAAAGCTACGGGAATTCATTGGAATAATTGACCACAAAACCACATTAGAGGTCTTTCAAGAGAGCATCTAAAATCTTTTCCAACATTGTCACCTACCCAGCCATCCAAGAATATCTTTACAATAATATTCGTCTGTTTGTGAAAGATGAATAAAAGATATCATCACTAGGAAGAAAAAGTCAAGAGTACAAATTATAAAGCCAAATTCAACGAATTGATAAAATTGAACAACTAAAGAATACTTTTTGATTGGTTACCTATTTGTTGAGTTATGTGATTACCACTGTGCGACTGATTACCGTACCCAATATAGTGGAAATAATTATATCAGTATTAGTGCAGATTAATATTTAATATACAAACATATATATATTAATATGTATTTGACATGTGCGGGGTAAAATTATTTTGTGACACACAAAAAATTAAAAATTCCCAAATTTTTTTTTTTAATAAATAAAAAAAAAAAGTTCATTTGTACAAAAAATAAAGAAATAAAAAAATTAAAAAAAAAAATAGATAAAAAACAATTTGATAATTAGGAAAAAATAAACTAAAGTAAAAACCAAACAATAAAAGATAAAAATAAAAAAAAAGCATATTTTTTTGTGTACATAAAATTCAGTAATATATAATATTATATTATTATTAGAATTATTATTATTATTATTATATTATTATTATTATTATTGTCTACGCATTAAAATTCATCTGCTGTTGGACATTGTCCACTTTTAACAACGCTACATGTCATCATATAGCCATAATCTTGCTCTACAATCACCAGAACCTGTTGCGAAAATTTTATTATTTGGACTTAAAGCTACCGAAATTACTATTGATTAATTAAATAAATGAATAAGCAATTAATATTATATAATAATAATAATATGATAAAACAAATATTGCTACTAGTAATATTAGTATTACCTGAATTTTTATGACCTTGTAACATAAATTGTGTTTGTGCTGTAATAGGATCCCAAAATTGTACACTACGATCTTTTGAACCCGAAACAACCCATCTAGCATCAGGTGAAACAGCAACCGATAATACAAAATCCTAAATAAATACATCAAAGTAAATTAATTAAAAATATAAATGATAACATAATATATGCACACATACTAATATATATAAGAATACAAACCTTGTGACCACTAAATGTTAATTTAGATTGATTCTTTTGACCAGAGTTATTTGTTCTACCTATGTAAGCCATATCCCATAATCTTAAAGTTTTATCCAAACTTCCTGAAACTAAAGTTTTACCATCTGGAGAAAATGCAACCGAGTAAACACTGTCTTTATGACCTTCCAATCTTTCGAGTAGATAACCAGTTCTTGAATCCCAAACCCTCACTATTTTGTCCAGTGAACCGGCTGCAACAAATGAACCATCAGGGCTAATAGCCACACTTGTTACTCCGGCATCTTTTGTACTAGGCTCGTCAATCGAAAGTTTATTCACCAATTCGCCAGATACCATATCCCAAATCCTTGCTGTTCTATCACCTGAACCTGACACGATTGTACGTCCATCCCGTGAAAAATCAAGTGAATATATGTCTTGCTCATGTCCTGAAAAAATGTTTCTGATGGCTTGTTTTTGAATATCCCAAATCTAATCGATAAGCAGCGTCATTATTATTAATGTATTTGTTTTCTCAGAAAAAAAATTTTATTATGTTAAAAACCTTACTCTGATTTGTTTATCTTCGGCACCTGTAGCTAAATAATTACCGTCAGGACTAAAACATACACTTCGAATATACAAATCACCAGTTTTATCAACATTAGGATCATCAAGAACGCTGCACATAGTAATAATATATACAATGAATATACATTTTTTTTAAAAAAAATCGAATTTTTCTAAAATAGAAAATAATAAAATCAATACTAACTACATCTTTTGACCAGTTTTAACATTATAAATTTGTGCACTTCGATTACAACCAGTTGCAAGTAAGCTGCCGTCCGAATTGAATTTAACACAACAAACAACGCTAATAACAAAAAACAATAATTTATGATATGTATATGTATATATATATATATATTATATTATAAATCATGAAATAATTAATATATATACCTATTGTGATCTAATGTATGCATCAAATCAACGTTGAGGACTCGGTTTACTTTTGGATTGAAACTGGATTAAAAAAATAAAATCAATTAATCATCATAATAACAACAACAACAACAACAATAACATATATATATATATATTTAATATTAGGACCTACATTGCGAACCAATCAGTTCCTTCTTTTTTAAGCTGAGCAGGTACACTATCAGGATCCATATCACTTAGACCAGTACTACCACCACTGACTGAAGGTTGCCTCATTGGAGGTCGACTACCTGATTGTAATTGATTACTTGGATTTTGATTATTTTTACGTTTATTAGATGGTGGACCAGAATGTTGTGCATTACCATTAGGAGGTACTCCAGAACTTTGCGGAACTTCAGGTCCAAGATTTGGTGGCATCTGTTGTTGCATTAGGTTTACCGACTACACATATACACATGTAAAGAATGATTAATAAATATGGATTAATAAATAACCAATGTAAATTAATTGTTTGTTCTTCTTACTTTTGGCATTTTATTTCCTGGTTTACTTTGTCCAACTCCTTGCATACCGTAACTTTGTTGATTCATTGGCGGTTGGCCAGGTTGAGGAGGAGGCGGTGGTGGCGGCGGAAGACCATTATTACTGTATATACCAGAAGGTTGCTGTTGATTATTAACAGGCATTCCTAAAGGGTTTGGAGGACCAGGAGGACCGCCACCGTCTTCTATTCGTTGACGTTTAGAAGAATGTTGTGATTGTTGAGATAAAGGGCTTGGACCGCTACCATTTAGATAAGGAGAAGGAGCAGGATTTCCAGCACCTTGAGAGATATTTTGAGGCGGTGGTGGAGGAGGGCCAGCTTGGCTCGAATAAGAATTTGGGTGAGATGGAGTTTGACCAGGAGGTGGTGGAGGAAGGGGAGGTTGCTGCTGCTGCTGTGAAGGATCTAAAGACATCTGAGGAGGAGCAAGACCCTGAGCACCACTCATGATTCCGCCAAATAAATTATTTGGGCCTTGACCAATATTTGGTGGAGGTGGCTGAGGATGTGATGGTTGTGATGGTTGTGGATGAGAACTGGTAGAGGTATGGGAATGTAATCTTTGAGTATCTAAGTCACGTTGAAGTCCACGTAAATTATCATCATATCTATTTTTTAAGAAAAAAAAAATATCAAAAGAGTAATAATAATAATAATAATAACGAGTAAATAAATGTGTAGAGTACACAATAATAATATTAATTGATAATTGATAATTAATAATGAAATCAATCGATTAACTCATACTGTGCTTTTATATTTTTCTGAGTAGCCTGTAAATCGTATAATCCTTGACGAATATGAGCAACTTCTTCAGTTTGTTGTTGAACTTTTTATTTAAAAAGAAAAAAAATAATATAATAATAAGAATATAATTAATTTAATTATAATTAAATCTTTTTTAATAATTCTTATTAATCAATCTAATAATAATTGTCTTCTCCTCCAATAACAATAATAACAATGATGGTGATTATGATGATTATGATGATTATGATGGTTATGATGGTGATTATATACCTTTATTTTCAAGGTCGTCACGTTGCATTTTATACATTGTAGATTCTTGATGAAGGGTTTCAATTTCAGTCTTTAAAGCCTCCAGTAAATCACCTATACGGGTTGCAGCAGTTGTTGAGGCAGGAACAATCTGTCTATGGCTGTATATATTTGACATTTTGTAGATCTCTGTTATATAAAATAATTGAAAATAGAATTAGCAGAGATGATGTAGAATAAACAATTGAAAAAAAAAGATTTTGATTGAGCAAATGGAGGAAATAATAAGTATAGAGAGAATAACTAAAACAATAATATAGATTCAACAGCAACAAGAAGAAGACTCACGGCGATATTATTTTGATGAACAAAGTTACAGTCGCCAAAATTTTGACTAACGTAATTATATCTACACTGTCCAAACTTTTACAAATAAAAGGAAAAATTTATTGGTAGTATTTTTACTTTTCTTTTTAAAATTAAAATAGTTATAAAAAAAGCAAAGAAAAGAATTATAAATGATCAAGAAAAAATAAAAAAATAGAATAAAAATAAAAAAAGAAAATATTTTTTGAGTTTAAAAGTGCGAGTGTTCGGTTGTGAGAGTTTGTTGTGTGTAAAAAGAGAGAAAAAAAAAAGTTTATTTTTTCAATATCAAATACAAAATATAATTATATTTTACAATATATTTAAAATAAATATATTGATGTATTGATGATGATGAAAAAAATGATGAGTATAGTATATATTGATGATTGTGATTTTTTGGTTGGTAAATTGAAAAAAATTTTTTAAATCAATTTATTAAAAATAAATATTAAATAAATAAAAAATAAAAATTTTTTATTACACATCACACGTCTCCATAACACACACATATTTCATAACACACGCACACGCACACACAAACATAAACAGTACCACAGCAACCCGTTTTATATTAGAGCAAAAGTTTGTTACGTCATCAAAGTTAGTTAAACTATATAGAAAGTAAAGTTTGTGACCAATAAATTAAAAACCCAGGCTACCCAGGCTATTCTTGTTATGTACAAAATTCCAAAATAAAAATAAAATTTTAAGGAGGAGGTGAAGAAAAAGTTTTTAAATAAAACTCAACCAAATATAGAATTAATTATCGATTAAAAATAGTTATATTTAATTATTAATGAAAGTTTTTTGTTTACTATTTGTGTATAAAATAAAAATTTACGAATTCCAGAGTTGTCGCTATGTTAGAAAATCCAGAGTTGGGACTGAGTAAGTGTGATGGATTGATTGATTAAATTGATGAAAATTTTTTTTAAAATAGATAAATAAATAAAAAAATTATTTATTGGCAAATAAATATTTATTGCAGATCTGGGCTGTTACTTTTATTTATTTCTTGTGCTATTTTGCATTGTTTTTAAAATAATAACCATACATAATAGAAATAATAATAATATTATTAATTGTTACACTTTTTGTATGCAAATGATAATAAAGAGATAAGAATTTGCGAGCAGATGAAGTTACACTAACAATTGAAATGAATTATTGGCACGTGATATCACAAAAATATTCATTATTTAAATTTCTATATATAGATAGAATTTCAATTATTTTTAGAAGGTTCGAATGTCTAACAATTTTGTTTATTATTATAATAGGGATTAATATTAACTTTAGTGAATTAATAATCTTGTATTCCTCGTTCTTGCACATTTTTCATTTTTATTGTTATAATTGTAAATATTTCATTTGCTTGTTTTATTCTTTTCATTTTACCACAACTGCTATATTATTCTTCCCATTTTCATCATCATTCTTCTTATCATCAGTAATATCAAGAATAAATTTTTGTTGGTTTAATTCATCACAAATAGTCAACATATTGTCATCATCATCATCATCATGTCATCATCATTACTTTGAAAATATTTTAAAGCTTCTAACAATTCCTTAATAAAATAACTGCTCCAATTTTTTATTGCACCACCATCAATTGTTCCACTATTTGGTCCTTGTCGCATGTGTAAAATGGGATTATTGGATAAAACATCAGAACGTGGAATTTTAATTTATGTTGTAGTTTCTAGATGTTGAAGCATTCGCACTTTTACTAACCAAAAATAAAATAAAAAAAATTTTAGAAAGAAATTCTGAAAATTTTCCTAAAAAAAATTTTTGTTTGCACAAAAGGATTACATATGCACATACACCACACAATAAAGTTTAATTTATTATTATTAAAATGTGGAAATGACAAAATCCAAATACCAGGGTTCAAATGAATGAATGAATGCCCCGTAAATTTAGAGCATTTTGGGTATGTGTAAATTAGTGGAATTATTGCTGCGGTTAGCTATCAATATATGATCTAATCTAGCATAGTAAAGATTCATATATGTGATCGGCATCATACTTTTATGATAGTAATTTATAAAAGTGGTACAATGCACGCCACTATAACCCATCAAATTTTTATTACTTTCATTACGAATTTGATGTCAAAAAAAAAATTTGAGGTAACGTGACACGATTAGAGATGTCGATCAAAAATAAAATGTTATTCATCTATTTCATCTATCACATTGTCTGGAATCCTTCTATGTGATTTATATTTTTTACAATATATTCAGCCTAAACCTTTTCTGTAACAATCCATAAATCTTGAGGCCTCATCACATACTTTCTAATTTTGTTTTAGTGACATAAAATCAAAAGCATTGGGGACATTCTCTTGAAGACCTGCTTAACATATCATTTAGCAGCCCCCAAATACATTTCAATGTAGTTAAGCTCACAGTGAAACTTTGGATAGAAGATGACTTTATGTCCTCTTTCTTCAATTAATTCTTGAAGTAAGGGTTAAAAGCATCTTGGGTTGCTAAGATATGTCTAGCACAACAAGTCAAAGGTCCTTCAAGAAAAACTTTAAACAAAAAAATTTGAATGGGATTATTTTATATTCATAAATTCAATGCAATTATTATTATTGACTAAAAAAAAAAACGCGTAAAATTTTTTTTTAATTTTATGGATGAATTATATCGCGTGATTTACCAGAATTAAAAAATCTATTTTATGTGTGACTTAAGGTGAGCCAAAACTACATGTTTCAAATTTGGAAAATTTTATATATGACATAAAAAATTGTCTCGACGATAGATTGTAGAACTAGTCAAAAGCTAATATCATTTCAATATTTTCTTTTTAGGTTTTAAAGTTGGTCAATTTTTATTTGATGAGTTATTGTGGCATGCACTATACCGTGTTTATTATTACTGTTACATTTGGTACGTTTGTTTTATTCATTCATTGATTGGTCAGATTAATAGTCATACGACAAATGATTTTCGAATTTTGTACAACTATAAATTACCAAAATTAGGGAATCTAATCTAATCAGGAATACGATCAATATCGTAGAATTTGATTGGCTAAATAAAAATCCCAATAAAATTTTTTAATTTCAAAAAAAAAATTTTTTTTAGTTTCTCTCTAAAAACATTTTTAAAAGGAAATATGGGAAGAATTCGTAGATCAAGAACTCATAAAAGTATCTAATTATAAATAATTATTTATAATTATTTCTCTCTTTTATTTATTCTTTAAATTTTCTCTATCTCTGTCATTAGATATACGAGATCATTATAGAAAATACAGAACAAGAAATTATACAAAAGATTTAGATCAAATTCATGAAGATTTAAAAAAGCTAACCGATGAAAAAATGATGAGAATTGAAGAAAAAATAGAGAGTGGAAGTGGTGAAAGTGGAAAAGGAGAAATAATAAATCAGGAAAATAATTTGTTATTAAGTATTAAAATAAACGAAATAAATAATAACAGTAATAATAGTGTGGATGATACAAATATTGAGGATTTAGAGTTACCAGGATCAGGAAAATTTTATTGTATTCATTGCGCGTAAGTATCAATCTACATGTATATATATGTTTGTTATATATATATATATATATATATATATAAAGAAAATGTATAATTTATTATTACGTTGGAATTAAATCATTATTAACATATTATATTATATTATATCATATTACACAGTCGTCATTTCATTGATTCTCATGCATTAAATGAACACTATCGTGGAAAACTTCATAAAAGACGGTTTGTATACTATTCATATCTATAATTCCAGCGTTATATATATCTCCACATAAATTTATTTATAGATAATCTAACTTTATGTTAGTATAAAGCTTCTTAAAGAAACACCTTATTCTCAAAAAGAAGCTGAGGCTGCTGTGGGATATTCCACTGAAAACTCTAGAAATAAATCTTTATTGAATGATATTATCATCACTTAATAAATTTGTGTGTGTGTAAGATTACACCGCATATCTATCAGTCTTTATTTATTTATATTTACCAATATTAGCGTCCACCTCAAGGTAAAAATCCATTTCTGGTTAATGTTATTTGGTCCCGATGATTGTAATTGGAGAGTAAGATCATTGTTTAATTTATTATTTACTGCCATTTATTTACCTATTTTCAGAAAATAAAGAGAGACTTGCATGTGGTAAAAAAGAGAGAGTGCCAGTGTGTGTAAATTAATTTCATTCAATCCATCCATCCCATATAATAACACTATATGCAAAATAATAATAATAATAACGTATTTGATTTAGCTTCATTCATTAATTCAAGACAAGGGGATTAAGCAATAATTTCCATATATATACATATATTATGATTATCATTTCACTATAATAAAACAAGTAATTAAACAAGTAATTAATGTTTTGTGTATCTTGAGATAAGTGTGAAAATTTATCAACAGAAAAACATGGAATCTAAATAAATAAGAAAATCCCACACATTTAATTTTTTCCAATTAAGCCAATCCTAATCTATTCAAATAACATCAATAACATCAATAACATTATAGTTCCGACGTTATACAAAAACCAACTTCAAAAAAAGTCAAACATGTATATATTATTACAATGTTGCAACTAAGATTAAAGAAAATGAATAATTATTTAAGCATTTAATTTAATAAAAATAATGCTAACTTTATAAGTGAAGTTAGTATTGATCTTTGAACACACGACTTTAATCAAATTAAGAGATCCAAGTTGAAAATAATCAAGACTTTTCTATATTTATTTATTTAACAAACTAGATAGATATAGTATATCGTGCTACACATTTATTCCTGTATAAATATTAACCCACTTTTTTTCTTGTTTTTTATAATTAGGTTACTACTAGATTTAGTGTGTATAAAGAACAAAGCTTCTACAACAATCTGCATGTTGTGTATCTGTTTCACATGGTAAAGGTGTGAATATATATGTATATATAGAGAGAGGGGGGGGGGAGAGGGAAGAGAAGGAAGAGAGATGAAAGAGAGGGAAACGGATGAGAAAGGATTGATTTATCAATTAATTATTATTATCAGTTATTATTTAATTGAGGAAGAATTCTTTTTTAAAACTTTAACAAATGTGTAACCTGTTATATATTAATTCGTTTTTTAAAAAATTTCTTTTATTTTACGTAGCAGAAATTTTTTTTTCTTACTCAATATAGGATTATGCAAATATGATTTTAATATTGTTCTTTTATATATATATACATACATATTTATTTATTACTGTACATGTACATATTAATATACATGTATTTATTTACGAATTACCTATAATTTTTTCAATTAATTCAATTAACTGAAGAAGAATTTAGAAAAAATTAAAAATTAGTAAACAAAAAATTTTTCGGAAAATGAAAGAAGATGATTTTGAAAAAAACAAAATTTTCATTTTGCATCATCATCATCATCAGATGGTTAGTTGCCTGATATTCAAAGAATACTTTTCTTTAGTATTGTGTTACCCTATTAACTGGTAATTTTACTTTTTGAGCGACTCACATTCTACCACATACATACATACTATTATATAGTTATTATAATAATTATAATACACTTTATTAGTAGATAATATATACATTATATAAGTGATGAGTGATGTAATTATCGTTTTTCTCTTATATATAAAAAAAATAAAAAAAATTTATTTTCTCAATTATTTTATTTTTTGTAAAATAAAATTATAATTATGGTTATTTTTGGACGAGAAATAAATTTTTCAGTGTTTTTTGGTTTTAATGGCTCACAAAAGTTTCCGCTTTTTCGATGGTTATTAATTCCAACAGCCTTCTTTTTAATAGTGGTTGGTAAATGATCTTCTTAATCATCTTTTAAAAGATAATAACAATAATAAATAATAAAATTTCTTAAAAAAAAAAAAGATCCCTTCGAGAATTCTTTTACTTGCACAGAATCGTAATTTAAATCATACAACAGTTATATCGTTAGAAGATGACGACAACGGCAGTAAAATATCTCAAGGATTATTTTTGATAACAAACAATCTTTACCTTGGTGGTGATATTATATATTTGATTTGCGGGTGTTTGATTACTTTATTTGGAATATTTGGTTTTCTAAGAAGAAATAACGCTGTTGGTCAATTTGTATCCTTTATAAAACATAAACTTTATATGTAGTGTGATTAAATTTAGTGATGATTTTATATAATAACAACCATGATTTATATAATATATCATCTTTAATAATAATGATGATGATGATAATGATAATAATACATAATAGATTTCAGCATTTTTAATTGCATTCACCGTGATTCACGCAATATCGGCTGCTTATACTGTGTTATTTAGTAATAGATGGATATTTAGAGTACTTGATGATACATGGGAAAATTCGTTTATTTATGATAATGAATTAATTCATGAAATCCAGAACGAGGTAAATATATTATTTTATAAATATTATGTGCACGTCTATACAGACACACATACATATAGAGAATGTACGCATATTCATTAATATATCATACATGTATATTATATATATGATAGTTTTCATGTAAAGGATTTTCATCGATGGTTGATCGATCAATAGAAAGCGTAATAACTACAACAATATCGTCATCATCGTCATCAAAAACGGTCGAATCAATAATATCATCATCGTCATCGCCCAAAAAATCTTTATCTTTTGAACAAAGTTGTGCTAAGATACTGATGCAAAGATACGGTCCACATTTATTTCATGTTGCAAAAATAATATTTTTGGCTAGATTTATCCAGGTAAAAAAATGAATACGTAAATTGTAATCAATCAATTGTATTTTATTATATATATTATATATTAATTAAAATGTATTTATTTTTTGGGTGAATTAAATTTATTAGCTACTTGCAGTTTTATTACACACATTTATTTTACATTGCGTTATAGTAAATGATATTCAACAATCTATTCGTCAAGAAGAATGTGAAGAGTATAACAACAGTAACAGGAACAGTAATAATAGTAACAGTAATATTAACAGTAGTAACGGTAACAGGAATAACAATAGCAGGAATAATAATGGCAGGAGTAGTAACAATAGCAGTAACAGTAGCAGTAACAGTAGTAATAATTATAATTATAATAATAATTCTAATTATGATGATGATAAAAATTACAATGATTGGGAATTTGAAGACGACGACGATGAAGATGATGATGAATCAAATGGAGATGTTGAAAATTTTGAAGATGGTGAGGATAATAATGATGATACCAAGTTACTACTTCATCATTATCGTAATCGTAATCATCGAAAGTATCTACGTTATGATGAAATTGACGATGTTAATGATGAATTGATTGATGAATTGGTTGAAAAAAATTTGGATTTAATAAAATTTAATAATTCAATATTAAAGTCTATTTATTATAATTCTAGAAATTAGATCAAAAATCCTTTTTTTATTATATAGAAAATGGACTTTTTAAAACCTTTTATATTTTATATTTATATATTTTATTATACAGTAGATGATATTTTTATTTTTAAAAAAAAAAAATTTCTTTATTTATTTTGTAAATATTATTAATTTGTACAAAAGAAAAAAAAAAGAAAAGGGCGGGCGGAGGATAATATATTTAGTAATAAACAATAAAAACATAATATATACTACAATCTATCCATCTCATTAATTTGATTATCACATTAAAATGGAAGATTTGGTGGTATAAAGTCATAATTTACATTACCATTACCATTATCAATATCATTATTGTTAATATTATTATTATTATCGACATTATTAGTATTATACCAGAAATTATTATAATACAACCAATTATTATTATAACCATAATAATAATTATAATAATTTTCATAATAATTATAATAATTTTCATAATAATGATTGTAATAACTATCTTCCCTTAATCTTTCTTCGTCATCTGGTTGTTGATTTATATCTGACTTTTTAATCGATTTTTCTTTATGCTGATTATCATAATCTTTGGAAAATTCCACCGGGGGAATTTCTGAAATCTGAGTCTTATAAATAAATAAATAAATATTATTATCAAAGCTAGCTAAAATTTCTGTTGTTTAATCTAATTAGTTAAATACATCAAATTCTCTCCTTTCAATTAACAAATAAATACCTTTATTGTTTCTCTTTTATTTAAAAATTCTTCATATGCCTTTTGATCAGTTTCAGTTGTTAAAGGTCTTTGATGATGTTTGATTGATAATTCATCTAAAAAATTATTTAGAGAATGAATGAATGAATGAATGGATTACGATGATGAGTTTATAAAAATTAGAATAAATATTACTTGAAAGCGGCTGAACATCAATGTTATAATTTTCTTTTAATAACTCAATAAATTTCATTTCATTTTGATCAACAAAACTTATGGCCAAACCATGTGTACCTTATAAATGAATATTGTTATTTTTATTACTGCGGTAAATAAAGTGTGAGTATGTGCGAGTATGTATGTATGTATATTTTTACCATATCTTCCAGTTCTTCCAACTCTATGAAGATATGTTTCAGGGTCTTTTGGCATATCTAAATTTATTACTAAATTGACTCTTTCAATATCAATTCCTCTTGCAATCTTTCCCAAAACAAAATTCAATTATTATAATAATTAAACAATTAAATATAATATTTTTATAATTTTAAAATTCTTACCAGATCACTACACACAAGTACTCTAATTTCAAATTTTCTAGCTTTTGACATTGTATCAAGACGTTGTTTCTGATCCAAACCACCTATCATCAGTATCACCAGTATTATCAGTATCATCATAATCATAAATATTATAAATGATAATGATTTAAACGTAATAATGGTGTAAATTGAAATAAACCTGATATATTCATTGACATCCACCCTTGATTTGTTAAATAATTTGCTAAATCTACAGCTCTAAAAAATAATTAATGAAATCAAGAAGTATATATATTTTTATAAATCAATAAAAGTTTTTTTTTTAAAAAAACCCAAATTACCTTCCACGATGATTTAAAAATACAATGCATTGATAAAATGGGACTTTAGATAACAATTCTGCCATTTTTTTAAATTTTTCTTCGTAAAATAAATATTTATCAACTAAGGTATTAACCTCTGGCGTTTTTATCAATTCATAATACTGTAAAACACCTATAAACATATATATATGTGAATATATAAATAAGTTATCAATTTTTATAATCAAGACTTTTATTTATTTACCCTCTAAGCCCGGTGAATCATCTGAAAGCATGATATAATATGGATTGTGAACAAAATTTTCAAGATTTTTAAATAAAGATTTATCATAAGTTGCTGAAAATGCAAGAACTTGTTTATTACTAGGCAATTTATCATTTATCTTTCTAAATTAATCAAGTAAATGATTAATTAATAAATGAATGTATGTTAAATAATAAATCTATTTTGATTATATAGTTTTTTTACTTTGATTGTGAAAAAAAATTCCGATCCATTAATTTATCAGCTTCATCTAATACTAGTAATTTTATGTTTTTTGCTGGCATTTTTTGATTTCTTAAAAGAAGATCGATCCTTCCTAATTAAATTTAAAAAACAAAGTAAACTTTTTTAAAAAAAACTGATAATAATAATGATTATTGCATTTATTGTTATTATTAATACCGGGTGATCCGATTGCAATATGACATTTTTTTAATTTTGGAAAATCTTCTTCTACAGGTATTCCTCCAATAAAAACATTACAGGTTAATCCTTCAATATATTTACCAATATTACAAATAACCTCTTTAATCTGTATTGCTATTTCTCTTGTAGGTGCTAATATCAAAACCTACTATTAATCATCATTATTAATATTGTTGTTATTATCATCAATTATCATTATTATATAATAAAGATAATAAAGATCAATTGATTAAATAAAAAAATTTTACCTGAGGTTTAGCAATACTTAAATCGATCATTTCTAATGAAATAATACCAAACACTATAGTTTTCCCTGTACCAGATTTTGCTTGTGATATAACATCTAGACCAAGCTTTCCTGGCGGAATTGCTTTTAATTGTATTGGGGAAGGTATATCATAACCTGCAACTTTTAAACCTTTTAACAAATTTTTATTTGTTATTAAGGCTTCAAAATTTACGCTTTCATCAATCAAAATATCTTTTGTTCTTGTAGTCATTTTTCTGGAATTGTGGCTGATGCCATGTTCCATATGCAGGGTTAGCTGTGATTACCAGTCTGCTGGTGTAACGTCTTAACTATATATATTTACTATTTTACGTCCAATTTGTGTGGTACAAAGTAACTGACGCCACAACATTAAACAGTAATATCTTTGAACTTCATAAATAGCTGAACATCATTGTAAAGATATTCTTGACACTTGAGTTCCACGGGAGTAACAATAAGCGAAGTGAATCAAAGCTCCTCGCAATCTGGTTTACGAGGAGCTTTAGAATGATAATTAATAATGGTGGAAATTTATAATTTTCTAGTACGCAGTGAATCTCGATTTAATCGATATGTTCAAATTCACCCGCTAAGTCGAGATATCCGTAAAAGTAAGGTAATAATATCTGGATATAATGAATGGTCATATAATCAAATCATGTGATATACATTATACAGTTACAGCGATCCCAAAATTTTCACGTAACGAAAAATTCCTTTATAGTGAACGTAAAGTTCACCACAACGAGAGTCTTTTAAATTAATATTTATTTAATGATAAACAGATAATATCAAATAATAAGTTTTTACAAATTAATGATAAATAAATAATGCATAATTAATGAGTTTTACACATTAATATTTATCCCAAAGTAACTTGTTTTGCAGATTCCGAATTAGTTTGTAATATTAGGTTTCTTTTACAGAATTAAATCTTCCATTCACATATTTCTTTTTTAAGTCATTAAATTATAGCCAGCTAAGCGAGCCATTAAATTTTTTAGCCAGATGACATTACTATTAAATCATGCAGTTATTGTTCTGAAAAGTGGAATGCTGGTAAAGTGTAAATGTTGACATTGTTAATAGACGTATGTACATAGGTTAGTGGTTGTATCCGCCGAATGATATTCACCAATTATTCACCGATTATCCGGTTAATCGGGTGCTGAAAATTTTCATTGATTAATTAATCGGGTGTTGAAAATTTTCACTGGATAATTGGTGGTACAGAAAATATAAAAAATATCCACGTAATTGAAAGAATTACTAATATATTAACATGTAAATACTATTTTATGCACTATTACACTCACCAAAATTCTTTCTATTATAATAACATATCAAGTAATATGAATACCAACTGTGTCATTATTATCTAAAGAATATTTATGCATTGCAGTAACTTCT